TAGACAGAGGAAACCTTGACACAAAGCAAGTCATGCTTACTGTGAGGGAAGGGATATGCTGGAACAGGTTACCAGCATTTGGACTCTTACATATTAGCGTGTGCTGGTTCACTGAAGGGGGTGAAGTTATGTGGCCTGATAGGTAATAGTTTGGGCTAATTTAAAGCTTTCTGGCCTTGAAATTTGTGACTGAATCCTCCTGCTATTTTATTTGGGATCTTGAAGAAAACACGATTCTTCCAGTTAACCTAAACATATTTGTAAAACTTGCATTTTTCAAGTAAAATATTGCTAGCAGGTGATGATTAAGCTTCAAGAGGTGTTTAGCACCTTGCCTTCAGGGGCTCAGAAGAGAACTTTTGCCTCCTGTGCATGACATTTTAATGGGTCCAGGGACTTTGGTGCTTTGAATACTGGTTACTGATGATATAGAATAGATTTTATTGCTTTGTAATGATATAGGTTGACACGAGATTTAACAAGGAATTAATGTATTGGAATAGGATTAAGGAATTGTGTATAAATGAAGATTTTGTTATCCTCGCTGTGCAGATCTGTATCTATAGTAATACAGTACTTCTATGATAATTCTTAAAGTATGGGATGGTTCTGTGGATATATGTATTGTACCATTGCATTCTGAGCCAGTTACTGATGCCCTCTTAGTACGCTCAAGAATCCATGAATGAATAGCTCTCAGAAATGTTTGTCAGAGCTGTGACTATAAATTGTAATTTGAAGTGTATTTTAGAAAAAAAAGTATCAAATCAAGTATCAGATCAAGGCTGATTGCAGTACTAACAAAAAACTCTAAAACCACCTTTGCTTTAATAAAGCATCTACTTTTCCTACAGGTGATAAATTTGCTCACATTTGAAAGCTTTAGCAAAAATACGAGCCAATTTTAGATTTTGCTCTGGTGAGATGAATACTTTCTCCACTACTTTTTTTAGAGCAGGTGTCAGAACCACCCCCCCTTGAAGTCCCAATATAGGAGTAAACATTGCTTAATGAAGACCACCACCTGCTTTGATGTAACTGGGGGGTGGTGGAAGGGGGAACAAAGATTTGAGCAAATGGAAAAATCACTGTACGTGCTGTAAGCATGTAATTTTGGAAATAGACCTTTATCCCTTCATTAGTGCCATTTTATTTTCTCTTTGACTGCCTTAGTTCCTGGCTGTGTTATGATAATTGTGTTAGAAAAGCCAGGAATTATGGTCTTGATTAATAATGTTAAGAGCATTCACATAAATGGCTGTAGTTCTCTCTAGAATTTTGACCTTATCTGCAGGGGAGAATTTACCAGCACTGGTAGAATTTAAATTGGTTTAGTTCAACTTGATTAAATTGCAGGGTGGACGCTGTTACTCAGAATATGCAATCTTAATTTTGTTTCCCTTCATTTGTTTGAATTAAACCAATTCAGGCTACGTATTCTGAATGAACACTCTTTTACAAGGCAGTAATCCACTCTAATTTGGTATAAATTTAGATCTTCAACTAATCTAGATTAATTTTTCTCCAGAGGGATCTGTTTTATTTGAAGTTGGTTTAAATGTCAGAATTTGCAATTGAAGCAAGAAAGGCATAAATTTCAAACAATTGAAATAAGTTTTAAATTGGTTGTAGTAGTTGCTGGTGGAAGCCTTTAATGATGGATTAATCTCCAGAAGACAAATTTTTATACAATTTAGAGATGATTGCCTAAAACCAGAAAATTAAAAATTTAAATGGGTAGAATTACCCAAGACAAGTGTTTTTCCTTTTAGCTATTTGTACCCTGACACAAACCAATAAAATCGTACTTTAGACATATTTAATCCTAAGTAATCCTAGCTATATGAAACACATTGTAAAATGTCTGTATGCAGTGCAATAAATTAAACTACAATTCTGATTTAAATGTCTATTTCTAATTTTGTAATTTTTGGTTAATATTACTTCAAGCTTGTATTTTACTATTGATTACTTAACCAATCATTTAGTAAATTATTAATTAGATTTTTAAAGTTGTTATTAAAATGAAATGTAATTATGATTTACAGAAATTTGAAACTGCCTGCAGAATATAACTCTGTTTATATTTATTAGTACTATTTTGACATTGGGCTTGGAGGTTTGAGAGAGAGCAGGTTAAAAAAATAACGAAGAATATAATTGAATTCCTTTCTGTGCTGGAAGTTGTTTGGCTAGAATTCCAACAGAAGTCACTATGGGATACAAAAACTAGCTAAGATGCTAGGTGAGAAACACAATCTTTTCCTGTATTTCATGTTATTCTGTTAATCCTGTTCTGCTCTGTTTCTGCAGTCACTGGTTAAATGGAATCCACTCCTGGGATCTGGATGGTTTCTACTGACATAGACTTTGCATAGCAGCTCTCTCGTGTCAGGAGGTTGCAATGAGTGGAGGAGGGGAGCAGCCTGACATCCTCAGTGTGGGAATCTTGGTCAAAGAAAGATGGAAGGTGGTGAGTATGCCTTCCTGCAATTTGTTTTCTTCCTTAAAACATGTTTTTAAAAAGAAGCAGTTTGTGCTTTGAAATATGTTTCAACATTCTTGAGAGATACACATTTTCTTAGTACTTATGTTAAATGATGAAAGTACTTTAAAACCACTTGTTTCTCTTATTCTACTTTAAAAAGAAGTTATATGGATTTAAGGTGGGGTTTTTTTTCTGGTAAGGGCCTAGGAAGACTTTTAAATCCTGACTTAGTGCCTGTTCAGAGCACAACTGGAAGAGTCCTGTTAGTATATTGAACCTAATCAGGCAGTGATTATGTCAGTCTGTTTTGGAACTTACTTAGGCACCCCCTTGAAACTAGTCAGATTGTGAGATTTATTACTTCTTATAGGAAGGTCTTTCAGGACCTTGCTGCTCTTCCAATTAGAAATTATTTTTGTTTGTTATGTTTTGTAGCATAGATTTATTCCCAGCTGGTTGATATCCATTTGATTGTGTGCTAGATTTACATCTAGAGGGAAGTAGTATCCATTTGAAACTATTTTTGCTGGGAATCGTTCCTTAACCATTCCCCCAATCACTTCAGAATTTTTTGCTTGTGGGTTTTTTTTTTTGAGATTTGGGGGGGGGGGGAAAAAGAAGAAAAAAAAAGCCACTTCATAATAAAACATTTTGGGTATCTCTGTGTGTTTAGTAGGATGTGAGTGGATACTGAATCACTTTTTTTTTTTTTGGTACCATCTTTGCTTTATATTATGTATTATATACTCCCATATTTCAATATTTTATTTAAAACTGTGAGACTGAGTATAGAAGACACAGATTCATCATTCATTTCAAATTCATGTGGAGAAAATAATTTCAACTATCTTGTGCCCTATCCTTCAGTTAAAACTATAGGAAACTGATACTGGCTTTGTGTAGAAAACCTTTATATTTCCCTTTGTGTAAATAGAACCTAAAAGGCTATCTTTAGAGTGTAACTATTTGTAAAATACCTTCTTATATTGCATCTCAATATTGCAGTGAAGTAAAAACCAAGAGTATAGTCTTGAGACAGTTCAAATAGAATAAAATAGCATTATAAATAGATTATGGTATACTAATATATCACTATCCACAAAACTACTCAGTTGTCTGGTAAGTGCAACCGTAGTCCTGTTTTCTTCAGGTTTCTTTTCTTTCCTGTGTAATGTAGAATGATGACCAGATCGGTGTCTTTTGGAAATTTTGAGAGTAGGCTGTTGTTCATCTCATGCGATTATACATTTTAACTTGCATGTTTTCCAAATCAAGTATTACAGGTAGATAAGTGCCAAATATTGTCTGTGGGTAACTCTTCAATTTCTTAACTTCTGTAGCAAACATTAAGGATTTCTTGGTGGCGTCTAAGGCAATATGCTTCTTTTTGAATTTAGTATTTCATAGGACAGTCTGCCAGTGGAATAAAATAGCATGCAAATTTTAGAAATTCCTTAGTGCTTGACACGTATCTCTTAACATAATCAATACTGTCTGTTAGGTTATGAAGTATTGAGGTTTTTTGCTAGTGTTCTTGAAGCAGTAGAGGACTTAAATCCCTCTAAATTTAATTTAATTAAATTCCTTGTGTAGAAAGATGAGGTGGTATAAACCAGTGGACTTTAGAGTTTTGGTGACGATGAGTACTGTTCCCCCAGAAGCAGTACTTCCAATTGTTCCTTGTGGAACTCTTCCAATATCCTGCTTTTTTTTCCACCATTGAAGAGTGGCAGCTCTGTATTATGATTGAATGATATTTAGTTGTAACCAGTTTAAGAAAAAAATGTACACATTCTAGAAGTTATGTAAAGATTTGCAGCTGAAATTTTTTTTCAGTTTTCAGAATTTTTGCTGTTCAGGACCTTGGTCTTTGTAATCATGAACACCTACCTGGAATAGGTGGACACGAGCATTTTAAAAAAACTATGCTCAATTAAATTTAATTTTAACCTGGACATTCCTGGAAAAAGACATAAAATACTTGTTCCTCATTGACAGCCTCCCTTCCCCTTGGTCTCTGTATCTATTAGCATTTGTTTTTATCCTCTGTCGATGCCTTTTCTTGTCCCTCTTTTTTCCCTTTGAAACACTTATTATAATTCTGACTTGGAGAGACTTGATTGTAACAATAGTTGTTTTTAGGTAGGTTTAAGAATGTCATTCAATATGCAGTCTTAAGTGAAAGTACCAAGATAAAACATACTGGAAATTGTACGCTTCAGACTTAAAGCATGCATAGAGAGAAGAGTGGAAGAATGGAGAGGATAGAGAGAATGAGTTTGGGTATGAGATGCTGAATGCAAAGAAGAGAAGCTGGAAATTAATGTACAAAATGTGAGAATGTGGTGCAGGTGTAAATGAGGGTAACGTGGTCCTTGTCAAGGTAAAAGATTTTGAGCAGATATAACAGGAGTCCAGTATTATTGAACAGCCAACTCCTGAACTCAAAAGCAAAATGCAAGTGAGCAAAAGGTGGAAACAGGGGTGGACTGCCCAAGATTAATATGGAGACATGGCCTCTGTGCGTTGTATTGAATATATAAGAAAGCCAGAGTTCAGCTGGCAGTTGAAACTGGTGAGGGATGTGAAAAGCAACAAGAAGGGCTTCTACAGGGGTGTTGGGAACAAAAATATGACCAAGAAAAACATGGGCTCATTGCTGAATGTGGTGTGTGACCCAGTGACAAAGGGTGTGGCAATTTCCCCCCCCCCCCCTACAAAGAGAGGTTGATTTGTGCCTGGAATTATTGACTGATGTCGTTATTGGATGTATGCTAATGATTCTGGTGTACTTTATCTGAGGATAGAAATTGATCCATTTATCATATTAGTGTGGTGGTGTGTTATTGTTTTGTGGTGGGTTTTTTTTGGTTTGTTAAATTTTTTTAAGCACACAAGGAGGGAAAAGAAAACAAACCCTTCAAAGGCAGTCTTTCTCAGTCTGGCCGTTTCTCAAAGGTGGTAAATAAAGTTATATGATAAAGTGCTGTAAGTTTGTATACGGGTGAGGATGGCTGTGTCACCTCTTTCTTCTTCCCCGCTCACCTTTTTCACCATGCATTCTCACTTTCTTGTGCTTGTAGTATGCTGAAAATCTTTGTGCCTGTGCTGAAAACTACAGTCAGATCAATGCCTGTGTTTAACTGTTGGAGCCCTGTTAATAGCTCAGAGCTCAGGCAAGATAATGGCATTACGAGACCAAGAGGTGGAACGGAAAAGCACAGACTTAAAATGGCCAAATTAGTCATGAAACTACATCAAGAGATGTACATAGATACAAACATACTTAAAACCAAAATAAAAAAAAAAATATAATCCTGATAAAACTTGCTATTTTTCCCAATATGTAGATGACACATCTCTCTTTTCTGTAAGAACTAACACTCTGCATATATAAAATACATCTGAACATAACCAAGTTACATTGAGTATTTCATCGGACTTGAAAGGTTTCTATTTCTCACAGTTTGTCATTATTTCAGAGTTAATCATAGATTCTTACCTGAGTAGTATCTTAAACAAGTCATGTCCAAAGACACAAACTTCTTATTCAGGATTTGTGATACCCTGTGCTTGAACTTTTTAAATTCTTGAAATATGTAGGTTAAAAAGTAACAGGCTTAAGCCTGTGTTGGTAGGATGCATGTTATGCTGCTCCAGAGAAAGCATACAACCTGTGGAGGAGATTGCATTTGCTAACAGCTAGTGTGCTCACTAGAAAGAAATGAGCATGTGAATTTGTAGTCAATAGGTGTTGCACTAGAAGCAGATATTTAGGTGGGTTAGTTCTATAGGTCTGAAAATGTGGTATGCTGTTTATCCTATGCACTTTTTAAAAACTGGCAATGAATCGTCCAGAAGTGAGTAATCTAGATAATGCTACGTATCTTGGACCATATTTTCCTCATCCTAAGAATACTGAAATAGCAGTTGCTTGCGATGGTAAAAGATCTTCAGTACAGAAAATGCATGATGAAATACTGAGTACTGTTGTAATCTTACAGAATAAAAATTTTGTGTGATATGACTTGAAAAATGCAAGTAAACAATATGAATATTTTATCTCTTACCTTCTTCCTTATTCTTAGGGGCCTAGGCTATTTCAAACATTCTTTTTCCTTCTCAGTAAGATGGATGATTGTCTGGGCTAGGAGACATGAGATTTATTTCAGAATCTGGAGATAGGTTAGCATGTTGCTGATCTCTAGATCCCCAAAATGTTTAGATTACATTTAATACAGTGTGGTCATATAACCTTAGCAACTGTATGTTTTCAAATTACATTTAGATAACGATGTCAGTTCTTTCAAGGTAGAATATGGTAAAAATACAGTATTGTGTGTTTCTTAGGGTAAGTTCTTTTTGTTCCTTTTCTCTTTTATCAGTTTTAGAATGGTAGATACAGGGGAGATCACCATATGAAAGCGTTACATGAAATACATTGATATTTTTGATACTGAAAGCCAGACAAGCCTCTGTTCCCTGTGAACGTTTAAAGCAGAGTGAAAACACAACTATTAATATTTGCACTGAATATAGTGCAAACTAATTAATACACCAGGAGCATTCTTTTTACCTCTAACGTGGATGAAACTTTCAGTGGGACAAGTTTCTTTAGTATGTCTGTTGGTAAGAATGGTATTGGTAAACCGTAAGTATATGTGAGTAACATTTAAAATATATATTCAAAGATAGTCTTAGCCATTTCTTATCATTTATGATTTAGCTGTTATGTATAAGTCACTGCATGTAATAGAAAATGCTGTCTCTCTTCAGTAAGTCCAAGAACTTTTATACCTTTAGTATTCAGCGTGTGTATTTCTGAAAAAAGATGGCATATTTTAAAAACATCACTGAGCATTTGTATTTGACGGCCTCTGGTAGTAGTATTTTCCTCTGTTTGGGGAAAGACTTTATTCAGCATGCTGACTTTGGTCAGATTCAGGCTGGGAATGCTAGTGCACTATTCTATTGTATAAATAGAATTCTAGATACAAGAAGTTTAGTGCAGATGGAGATCAGGTGTATCAACCTGTTTTCCTAGGATTCTTTTCAAAACTGTGGTTAACAATACCTTTGTAGGTTATTCAGTAGCTCTTGTTATTTTAAAATCTATCAGTAATACAACAGCATTTGCACTATGGCAGGCAGTGCAAAGAAATATCGATGTTTTGTTTCCTTTATTTTCTTCTCCCCTCCTTTAAATCTGTTTTTATTCTTTCTTTTTGTGCCCAATATAGTTGAGGAAAATAGGAGGTGGAGGATTTGGAGAAATTTACGATGCACTGGACTTGCTTACTCGGGAAAATGTTGCACTGAAGGTCGAATCAGCTCAGCAGCCAAAGCAAGTACTGAAAATGGAAGTAGCTGTGTTGAAGAAATTGCAAGGTAGGGCTGTACCCTGGATATGCCAGAAGTAGATGTCAGTGTATCTTCTTAAAAATCATTATAATCTCTATTTAGTCATAGTTTGAGTAAATATTCCCCATGTTCTGTGGGTTATTGCTGAATGGTTATTAAAAGTGGAATAGAAGCTCTTTCAGCTTCTGAAAGTTTTGCTACAATGAACCTTTTCTTTGAAACAAGATGACATGAAAATAAAAAGAAGAGCAAAAAGATTAAATTACTGCAAAACCTATGCTCAGCTGTTGCTTATTCTGGATCCATATCTTCTTACCTTTTCTTGCTCTAGACTTTGGTGGTGGTGGTGTTAGCTTTGTATTTCCCCTTCTAAGATGGTCACTTTTCTTCTGTACTATCTAGCACTGAGTATTTGTGGGTCTTTCACATAGCATCCAGGATAAGAATATTTGTATTTCTTTGCCTTTGTAAGTATTGCCATGAATAATTCTAACGTTGAAATGGGAAACAAAACAAAACAACACAACAACAACAAAAAAACCAACCAAACAAAAAAAAACCTTGAATAAAAAAAATTATTGGCATGTAGAGTCCTGAAATACTTTCAGGGTTCAAGTCCTTGACGATTTAGAATCACGGCTTTGAGTAATCACTTTTGATGTAGCTTTAAATACTTTAATGTCTGAAGCTATCAATACAGATAAATATGCAGTGACTTCCCTTCATTGCTTTTCACAACATAAGATTATAAAAAGAAAGTTTAAAGGGTGACTTTTTTATTTAAAAAAATTATTTTGCATTTGGAAGATTCTGTCAAATACATCTGTCTCTGTCAGCAGCCTGACTTTTCCAAACTCTTAGTCTGAATAAAACAAAATCTGCATGACATATGGTGCTGCCTAATCTGCAGTAAAGGTCACATTGCAGCAGAAATCGACAGCCTCTATAGTTTTAAGAGGGCAAGCGTGTCACATGCTACAGTGTTAACAATCTGTTCCTATATTTATATCTTTTTTTAAAGAATTTCACAAAAATATCTAATATTACATAGTTGAGCAAGGAGATTCAGGGACTGTATATTATCTTTCTTTGAATTTTAGAGTTTCTAGTCCAGAGATGAATAGTTAATTTCAGTATTACCAATCATAGATTTCGAAAACATTTGTCTAACTCCTGGGTTTTTAAATGCTCAGAATTAATTTTTCACCTTTTTTTTTTTTCTGCACACATGGGCTTGTTTATATTTTTAACAAAAACGAGCACCTTTAAAATGGTATAGGTGAAGCAGCTGAAGTAATAAGGGAAATATTACTAACTGAAATAAAATATTGGAATTTGGTAGCACTACAATGCCAATGTATTTGTAAAAACATAGCCTTATGTATGACTGCATAACTGGAGTGCCTTATAACTTTCTACTGTGAATTTAAATCTAGTGAAGTTTGAGTTAAGATGTTACAAAAATACTTTTCTCTTAGTAAAACTTTAAAAAATATTTTTAAATACTTCTGAAAACCAAAAATACCTGCTGAAATAATGAAACAAAAGATTTGTGAATAATTGCCATAGGGCCTTACAGAAGTTATAATTTTCTTATCAGTCTTTCTTTGGGAGTAGAATTCCTTTAACAACTCAAGTCTTCCTGCAGAGGAGTCTCTGGTTCTACTGAATCATAGGAAATGCTGTCTAGATGAAAAAAGCAGAGTAATGAAACACCGGAACAACAGATCCAATGAGGCAAATAATCCAAATAAAGATCTTTGTTATTTATTTTCTCAATATTATTTCTCTGAGAAAACAATAAATAGAAGGTTTTATATAACTGAAACACTGATTTTGTATGAGACCTTCAGAAGGATCTCTTTTGCCAACCTTCCTTGTGAGAAAACAATCTAAATATTATTCCTTAATTTCTATGTCTTATTATTCTCTTGCGCAGTTAAAAACCACCACCACCACAACAACAACAAAGAAAAAAAAAAAGAGTGATTCTGTGATAGTAACACTAGAGGTGACCTTTAGTCATTGCTGTGCAAGTTCCACATTACAGTGTAACTGCTCTGGTTTTAGATTGGGAACATTGTAGATAATGTGCGCTGGCAGCCCAGAAGGCCAACTGTATCCTGGGCCACATCAAAAGAAGCATGGCCAACAGGTCGAGGGAGGGGATTCTGCCCCTTTACTCTGCTCTGGTGAGACCCCACCTGGAGTCCTTCGTCCAGCTCTGGAGCCCTCAGCACAGGAAAGACATGGATGGACCTGCTGGAGCGGGTACAGAGGAGGCCCACAAAAATGATCAGAGGGATGGAGCACCTCTCCTAGGAGGACAGGCTGAGAGAGTTGGGGTTGTTCAGCTTGGAGAAAACAAGGCTCCAGGGAGACCTTATTGCAGCCTTCCAGTGCTTGAAGAGGGCCTATAAGAAAGATGGGGACAGACTTGTTAGCAGGGCCTGTTGGGATAGGACAAGGGGTAATGGTTTTAAACTAAAAGAGGGTAGATTTTGAGTAGATCTAAGGAAGACATTTTTCAGCGCCATGAGGGTGGTGAAACTCTGGCACAGGTTGCCCAGAGAGGTGGTAGATGCCCCATCCCTGGAAACATTGCAGGTCAGGTTGGATGGGGCTCTGATCAACCTTATGTAGTTGAAGATGTCCCTGCTTATTGCAGGGGGATTGGACTAGATGACCTTTAGAGGTCCCTTCCAACACAAAGATTCTATGATCAGGAAAGTGACAACAGTAAGAGATGGGTCAAGGTTGAACCTTTTGCATGTATTGAGATTTATAGTTTGCACAGATACGTAACTTTATTTTTACATGGCTATATTTTTATCCATACCTAAAGGACTTTTATTAAATAAGATTATGGTGGAGACCATTTTATGCTTTACATAAAATCTTGGCTTCTAGGAGCCATTTCCATTAATTTTTCTACCTTCCCAAGTTTTCAGTGTGCAAGAGCTAAAAATATGAAGCGGAGAGAAAGTCAAGAAAAATGGGCAAAAATGGGGAGTAGAAAACAACTTTATCATTGCTTTTTGAAGAATTTTTTTTTTATTAAATGCTTCATTTACCATGCAGAAATTTTTCTTATTTTTGACAAGTTTGTTTTTTTTTTTTCATACAAATTCAGAGCAGGTAAAATTGTAAACAGTTCTTTTAGAATATTTCTGTAACAACCTTCTAATAGCATACATCCTCTGAGACCAACTTATATCTTGTTCTTCTATCCCTTTTTGGCGTGTATGTATGTGTATATGTATGTATATAATTACTATCCTTTTCTCAAAGGCCTTATGTTCTCATACTTTCAAGGTGCTCTAGTTACTTTTGACATAAATGATGAAGGAATGTAATTGTCATGAAAATAATTTTTCTTGCAAATATTTGGAAAGTTTGATCTATGAATAGTATGTAATGAGAGGCAGTGAGTTGACAGTGTAATTCAGAATTCTCTTAATGTGTGGATCTGAGTTTTTTTTAAAAAAAATTATCATGAACAATTTCTGGGAGAATTATGAAGAAACAGGCTTTTAGCAAAGAATTAAATAGGTGTAATATGTCTCAATCCAGCAAAACGGCTCTTCCAGTCCTTATTAGAGCTAGGTGCATTCTCAAGGTTATAAACATGCTTTTGAGTGTTTCTGAATTAGAATCTTATTTCACAGAAACTGTAAAACTGAAATGAGAATAGCTATTGGCAGAAGTGCAGGGATGTACTATTTTTTATTATTTTTCCTTTCAGAATTTTGAAAATTAAACCAGGGTGGTCATTAATTGAGGAGGTGAAATGAGTCATGACTTTGTAGGTATGAAGTACAGTGAATAACGAAAAACTTCAAAGAAACTCTTGTAAGACACTGATCTAGCAAAACATGCTCAAACACGTTAGTAGTTGTATGACTTCTCTCTTAATTATGAAGGAGGAGTATGTTCACTGAAACAGCCATTTATTACAGAATAGTCATCAATTGCATCTTTGATTTCCCCACCCCAATGATGCTGTCTCCTGATTATTCTTGCCAGAATACTGTTTAACTCTTTAATCTCTGCTTTTATTTTTCTTTTTTTAGAAGAAATCTGCTGTGACAGATGGTTGTTTTGTTTAATCATGTTGTTAAGCCATCTGTTCCCACAGTCAGATGGGAGAAGACAGATTTATCACATCTCACTCAGTGAGAGTGAGACTCACTCACTTGGTTTCTGTCTCACACAACCTTACAGACTTCTCCCTCACTCATTTAGAGCTCTCTAGCATAATTTAGTGATGGGTTGCATCTGGTGTAGTCTGAAAAGCTAGCTGTAGTTATACACTGCAGCCTGGGGAATGGTATGTAGGCTTCATACCCTCCCTAGGAAGCTTGTCAAGGGCATAGTTGTTCACTGCGGCCTATTACCAACTTCTCCCCCGCTCCCCAGTGGTGTGCCTCTCTGGTGTGAGAAAATACTGTTATCTCGCTGAGGAAAAAGGCACTGAAGGTATCTGCAGTGGTATAATAGCTGTGCATAGCCATGCTGGGGTGGCGGAGGATCGTGTTGTTTGCATAAGGTGTACAAGCCCTACTTCTGTCCTTTCCTATTTCTTCAGATTTTTATAAAAGTTAGTTTCCAGAGAATTTACCACACAACTAGAGTTGCTGCTCCAGTTAAAATGGGGTTTCTCTAACCAAACTGAGTTTTGGGCATTTACTGAGTTTGTCAGATGAAATCTGACTAATCTATGTTTCTCTGAAGATGTTCCTTCAGCACACCCACAGTGGCTGTAAAATGAATCACAGATATTTGAGATGAGACTTCATTAACTGGAAACTGCAGTGATGAATATACAAAATTTCATCTTGACAAATTTGCTGCAAATCCTTTTCTTCATAAAGTTATACTGTCTGTAAATATTGCCTGTCTTAAATAAATGGGTAGAAGGAAAAATTGGAGGAAAAGCAGTGATACTTACAGCTTAGCACTTATGTGTTTGCAGAAGTTGTACAGATTTCTTTTAAAATAATTTTTTAAAAATAAATTACTTTTGAATCCTGTACCATTTTCTTTGTTTAAGTGGGCCTATCTGTTTTAATTGTGTGTGGCAGGAAAGGAGGCAATAAACAGGCAACCACCCTCCTGTCAAGTGAGAATATTCAGAAGTTGTAGGCCCAGTTTTAGGGTTTTGATGGAGCTATGAATGTAGGAATAAAAAAAAAGTCCCCCCAGATCTGTAGCTAGCAGTAATAGTGTTTTGAAAGGAGCTTTTTGAAATTTTTAGTTGCTTTTTTCCTACCACTTTTTTTCTATTTATGACATTCTACTAATCCTCAGAGTGAAGAAATTCATGAAAGAAACCTTAGGTGACAAGAATTTTACACAGATTTAGCGTCCACTTGTGACCATCAGCTTTCTCTTGGCTGTAGCTTCCATGTCAGGAGATAAGGTAAATGGCCTTAGGGACTTAAACCCTATAGTTCCCTGTCCTGTCATAGTATGCAGTCAATAAAGGATCCCAGCTTCTCTCCAAGTCAATGAACACAGATATCGAAATGACAATGAGGTTACATTCCCCTTCTGTTTCCCTACTGCAGTCTTTGGCTTGCCTTTTTCTCTGTTTACTTGGGAATCTCATGCTTTGACTTACAACTGAAGGATAGTAAGGAGATTATTTTTGACTAGCCCTCTTCTCCACAGTTTGCTCATAGGGCAGGAAGAGGCTTTAAAGAAAATCGGCTTAAACCACACTGTGATTTTTATTTTTTTCTAAATATTACAGTTCTTTTATCTCTGCTTCAATGTACCTGAGCTGAATTTATCTTTTGTAGCTATACAGCAAAGTTCATATTCTGGAGAAAAATATTCATAAATCAGATTAGTTGAATTACATTTTCTACAAATTTTTAAATAGAAAACATGACCTGCAGGTAACTACTACTGTTTTCTTTCAGAGCAGCAGCTGCAGCTTATAGAATAAGAGGAATGGTGGCTAGGAATACTGTCTATAACAAACCATCAGCTTTGCAAGAGAATAACTTTTTCCCAATCCAAAGCGCCGCAGATTTGTGGGCATGTAGGCATGTTGCCATGCATGTCGTCTTATGGAAGAGTGATAGCTGTGGTGGGGCTGCATATTTTATCGAAGAAAACTTTTATTTAATTGGGGATACAATTGACATTGGTTTTACAGCTATTGAACTATGAGGGACTTAGTTTATCAAACATGTCTAAAGAAATATGACTATCTCTTCCAGTAATTTGCTAGATATTTAAAGGGGTAAGCCACAGAATGTCATTATTATTGGCTAATTTGCTTCTTTTTCTCTCAGGAAAAGATCATGTCTGTAGATTCATTGGATGTGGAAGGAATGACAGATTTAACTATGTGGTCATGCAGTTGCAGGTTAGTGTATCAAACAGAGCTCAAAGTTTACTTGTGTGTTTTGGTTTGTTAGCCAAGCATATATGAAAATACCAGTAAAATTTTAGAGGATAGCAAATTAAAAAAAAACCTCAAAGATCATGATGCATAGTAGTGAGCAAACCTAAATTGAGCATATCCTTATATCTTTATCGTTTGATATCCTTTCCATAATTCTCTCAGAAAGGAGAAAGTTTGCATCCTCATAAAGACCTGACTATTGAAAGAGGGAACTGTGATGTCTTCTGAGATAATTCACATTCCTTTGAAGTCTTCACTTGAAGATAGTCTAAAACATGATATATTAGTCTGTGCATTTTGTTGGCTTTTTTGACGACAGTGAAAAAATACCCTTTGCAAGTTTAATTCACTTTACTGAAAGAATTGTTCCTGTGAAAAGGGATAAAATGGATGATGAGCACTTAAAGTTGTGGGATTAATATCCTTTATCATCTTGGTGAAGACGAATACTGGAAAAAGAAGTGTGCTCTAGTTCATACTGCTGGTCATCTGTTATTTTGACAGACCAACAGTTCTGTGATGTCATGGGGGTGTATTTCCTGCATAGTATATATTTCATCTGTTTGGTTAAGTCATCCAAGATATACTGTATAATTAAATAAATTATGTACTTGTCCTTCAAGAGGTGAGTGTAAAGAAGCCTTTGTGAGCATTTTCTCAGTGGCCTTTCAGTTGTGACAGACATAACATTAACCAATAGTGTATATACTAGTCTTCTAATAGAGATTAGTTTACTCATAAATAAGATGGACCAGAAAGATCCTAAGATTCATATTTTCAAAAATAGATTCTAAATTTAATGTTGGAGATACTCGGGGACATATACTCATTACATTTAGGTGAGATGTGTTATCCTTGAATATGAAAACAGGTAATGAGAGTATTTTGTGGTTAACCATAAACAGCTAAAGAAGAAGTAGGAAGACTTTATGCTAATCTGTGAATCTTGGTATTAGAATTTTTTTATGAAAATGTCATTTTAATTTGATCAGGGTCGGAACCTGGCAGACCTGCGTCGGAGCCAGTCTCGAGGAACATTCACAATTAGTACCACTCTGCGGCTTGGGAAGCAGATTTTGGAATCTATTGAAAGTATTCATTCTGTGGGATTCCTGCACAGGGACATAAAACCGGTAAGTCTGCCCGTTAAAATCAAAACAGGCAGGTAATATGTGGTCATTAGGTGGCTGCATAAATAAGAATAGTTCCATACTAGATGTTAAAATGAAAAATGATGAGACACAGAAAATTGAATGTTTATTCATCAGGTAGGACAGATTTTTTTCTATTAATTAGTGTTGGATTGCAACAACAATAACTTCGGTCTTTGTCATCATTGTCTCCAGTTACTTAGGCCTCCTTGCAATCTTCTGTAGTTAAAACTTCCAGCTCTTATATGTAGCGTCATGCAATCAAGAGTATTTGCCATGAGATATGATATAATGGGTTTGGCTAATGGCAATTAGTATCTTCACATAATAAATCTAAAAGAATAGATACTAACTGTAGACTGTTTTTATAAGCTCTTTAATAGCTTGTTTTTTGCGATTTAATATATTTACAGCAAACAAGGAAAGAACAGACAGACTGTAAGAGAAAACTATTCAATTGTTTTATTGTGCAATTCTAATAAAATGAGTGTTGTCAGAATGTCATGAGAACAGTGCCTTCCTGATAGCATCACATGTTTGTTCTTATTTTTCTGTTTTTCTTTGAATTTATATCTGAAATTACATAGGCTATTTTTAATATTGCTCTGTATTAACAGTACCATTAGAACTCTGAACTTTCAAAATTTGTAAATGAGGAAAAAATAAGTAAATCTTAGTTTTCTAATAGATGCAAATATGGCTGGTTATATCTGGCATATATAGCTAAATTTCCTGTCAGCTGAATGAAGTTTACATAAAACCTCTGATAAGTTTTTGTGCATTAGGCAATTTTCATTTTCGTCACTTCTTCCTTGCAACTTTTTATGAAACTTGTACTCTCCTTGACCCATCCTCAAGACTTCATTTAATAGGGAAAGGTCTCAGAGGCAGTGAATGTCAAGTGAAATAGGTGAGGAGGAGTTAGCTGGAGCGCAAAATTTTAATGATGAAAACAATTCAAGTTTTGAGGGAAATGTGTTCCTTTATGGCTGGCAGGATGGACTGGGGACATCTTGTTATCTAGCTGTATCTCTGAGTCTATGGGCTCAAGTAGGATGGAAGTGGAGAATGCTGTTAAGGAATAGAAAAAAAACAGAAAACTAAATGTTGAGCCAGGGTAAAAAGCAATGTGAGTCAATATGTTAGATTCATAAAAGAAAGAATTTTTCTTCCCCTTTAGGAGTTAAGTTGTGACTTACACATGCAAAAGAAGGCATGATTTCTTCTAGCATGCAGTTTTCCTGACTTGAAAATACAAGTCCATTTTATCTTTCATTATATATCTTTTAGATGGATTATACTAAAAGCAAACTTTGTGCTAAGCTGAAATCTTGAAATCTTTGGTTATTTGCCTCATGATGAATTAGGCAATGCTGAAATTGTTCCATTTAAAAATAATGTTGATTACACTCATTTTAATTCATGGTTTTGATTGGTTTTTACCTTTGACATTGAAGCAGCTGTGAATTTCAGATTTACTTAGAATAGTACTGCTGTTTCACTTAGTGGAAAAAGAAAAGTAGTTTCTCTAGAGTTAGTTGCATTAAACTTCCATCTTGCTCAGATCTGTAGTTTTAATTCCATTTCATAGAACTTGTTTTTAGCTTTATCTTTTTTTATATCATGTAATCCTTTTTAAGGGGATTTGGTGGGGAAAAACTTGAACAGATTCAGACAACATATTCAAACATTATAAACTAGCAGTGTTGAAGAATTTTTCTTTAAAGGGCTAACATGGAATGTTAATCTATAGAGGCAAATAAGAAAATGTACTGAAGCTTTTCAGAATGAATTACCTCTGTAAGTCCTCACTCAGTTTCCAGCTCATGGAATACATGATACATAATACATAACACATGGATTTTCTATCATTGTGTTACTGCATTAATAAGTGCACATACTGAAGTGTGTGTGTGTGTATATCTATCTATCTACCTATCTGTATTTGTTTTTCTTCCTAGTCTAACTTCGCAATGGGACGTTTTCCTAGCACCTGTAGGAAGTGTTACATGCTGGATTTTGGCTTGGCACGGCAATTTACCAACTCATGTGGGGATGTCAGACCAGTAAGATTTTTTTCACAGTTGTCAATTTGATTAATTGAATGTGGTAATATGCTGTCTTTTGTCCGGAGAAGCATGGGAGTTGCATTAAACTGGTGCCTGATCTAAACTTCACAAATATCATCCCAGGTCAGAAATGCCATGCAATTTATTGATTATATTAAAGAATGGCAGTTGGGAATGAATCGGATTTCTGATTTTTGGCTTGAGGCAGAGGTGTAGTGATTTTTTTTAGGATAATCTATCTTTTGGATCGGAAAATCAAGTGATAAATAGGTTTTCATTAGTTTTTCATTAAATATCAGAGTAATACACCAAAGCTGAATTTCACTTGGTATTATATATTGCATTAAAAAAAAAAAAAATCTATGTAGGAGAAAAGCCAAACACTAAACTGAATATATAATCTTCTGAACGAGAAAGCCTGAGTAATTAAAACAGTGAGAGGATGCTAATTATAATACATAACAGGACATAGTTAAGTGTAGTTGCAGTATTCCCATGCGATACAGTCTGAAGAAAATTGTGGATAAAAGCATATCAATGAGGACATTACAATTTTAAGTACAGTAGAGCTGCCCTAAATTGACTGGCAGGCAGTCCTTGTGTTACTTTCAAAGTTTGTAAGTAAATGACTTACAATGAGCAAGTCAGTGCCATGGTACATGGTGATGTTCTAAACAAATGTATTTTCTTTACTAAACTAGTTTACATTTTGATGGTAATATCGAATAATGCAGTAGTCAATATTTTGTAGCATATTTATTAATGTGATGTGATTTGAGTGGTAGAAGCCATCTCTACAGGATTTTCAATTTTATTTTTCCTAAGAAGTTGGGAAAGTGGCAAATTTTTATGTGCAAATTATGAGGTATGTGAATTCGTAAGGTAAATTAGCGGGGTTCTGCTGTACTCTATTCCTTCAGCCATAATGCTGGACACTGCAATGAAAGCAAAGAGCAGGGGAGACCAACAGAGTGGCTGCTGCTGTTGGAAAGGTGAGCTAAACATTTTAAGTAGTTTTTAAGTTTGTTTGTTTTTTTCTCAGTGTTCTTGTCATGTTCTGTATGTTTGGCTGCTTATAGTATTTTTCTACCTGACCTGTAATTTTGAAGAGAAAACAATTCCCAAGATTCTGTAATTTATATATACACCCCAATGATAGTATTCTCAGAAAAAATAGGTGATAACAACAGAAAATTTAATATTTCTGCTATTCTTTCTTTTGTAACAACTGAGCTCTTGCCTTTTGTTTTTCATTGCAGTGCCCTACAATGCAACTGAAGTAATTCTTCAATTTAATCTGTTTAGAATTTTCTGACAGCATAATCCATATTAGTAGCATGGCAGTGAGGGGAAAAAAAACCCCAGACAGTTGTTTTATTTGTACTTAATAGTCAGAAATGGCTCTTGTATAGATAGCAACCATACTGTTGGCCTTGCTTGCTAATAAAATTTATTAATATTTCCTTAAATGTGCTACGTACTTCTCCTTAAGGCTGTCATTCTTCTAAACTTCATTAGACTTCTTCAGCAGATACTGCAAATAACCTGGAACAATGTAAAAGCATGTTCTCCAAAAAACATAGTAGTCTGTTGGTAAGAACTTGTTCCTTAGTTAAGGTTGACTATTAGAATTTTATGATAAGCCTGATTTTCTATATACCTGACTTCCACTGAAAGAAACCAATCTCATTGAGATTTTACATATCATCCCTGAGTCCTTGAATTTCCACAATGTAGAAAAGAACTGGAAGAGAAATTTTGGAAATTATAGTATCAGGTTTTAGTCTTTTGGTAGATTTGTATTTTCCCCAACATTAAGGAATTCCTGGTGGCCATAAATCTGTTTGTTCAACTCAAAAAGAAGGAATAGGCTTATATGGATACTGTTGAAAGCAGAAAAGTTTGACAGGACTGTATTTCTCACAGAAATCATTGCCTAGCACTGATGGCTAGCATATACATTTCAACAGGCGGGTATAAAAAATTGAGTTAGGTTCAAGACTGGTAGAGAAGAAAGGTGTTGTGTAGTTCTTTGACAAAATGCAACTTAGACTGTCAAGGGTGTTGAAACTAAAAGGCATGACAAGAATAAATTAACATCAGTTTTATAGTAAAATCCTCTTGTTGAATACAGGTATTATTCACTTGCCTGAAGTTCAAACAAGAAGTTGAAAATAGGTCCTTATGTTGAGAAAGACTGCTTTATTTTGTGAAATCAGGTCAAGAAGCAAAGAGGAAATAAATTTATCAAACCATTAAGCTACCCAACATTAGACACTTCGGTAATTCCAGTACATTGTACCAAGACACAGGAATTCAGCAGAGTTTCATACGACTTCAGCGTGATAAGGTGTTCTTGTTTCAGATTTGTTGTAAAAAGGGGAATTAAAACTTGGGAATCCATGGTTTTATTTCAGTGTCTGACAGAAGTATGTGCTGGTGGCTACTGACATGTTGACGCATCCATTCGGACCCTTCCACATTTCTGTTAAGCCTGTGCTTATTCTAGTCTGAATCTTTTCTTTTATCTCTCCTCTCCGGTTTCCTTTCTGCATCCACCTCCTCATATTGCTTCGCTTGCAATTAGACTAATTTCTCTTCTCCTTCCAGTTTTGTTGCCCACTGGAATAGTACAATGCAACTAAGTTAAATTTTCTTTGCTCTTAAGTTTCTTTTCTTTGCACTACAGTGAAAGCTGAAAGCATTCTGAAGGAGTGATAGAAAAGAAATTTAGGCTATTGCAGCTCTGGATTGAATTATGCCTCAAGACAGATAAACATTTGAAGAATTTAGATGCCTGATTCAAACAAGTCTGTATTGAGTTTGTGTGAAATTTCATTTTTCAGAAGCTCAGGCATAATCAGTTTTGGATCGTTGGTAGAGTATTCCTTGACATCATCATGGTACGCTCTCAAATCCCTCCTTGTCTGTCTTCATTCCAAGACACACTAGGGATTATAGGCCTCCCACGAATTATTGTGGGTGTTGATAAACAAAATAAACGTTTGTTTCAGCTAAATTCAATAACAGTTTGAAATGATTTGCTGAATTAAAAGCAAGCAGCTACAAAAACAGTCATCTAACATGAAGAATTTCAGCTTAAATTGGCAATATGGAGAAAGTTTCAAGTGGCTGAATGCAGGATCTTATATGGAAAGTAGTGGCCACTGTTTAAGTATAGATTTTAATACAGGTGCCATATATGATATATTGGCAGTGAAATTCACAAACAGGCAGCAGTGCTAATGAGTCTGGAGAAATTTTGATGAAGTTCCAGCAATATTCCAATAGAAAAAATATTTGTGCTTTAAAAGTAGAAATGAAGATTCATTCAGGTTAGAGAACTTAAATATTTTTGGTGCTATCTGTAGTAATTAGTTTTTTGTTTCACATGTTATTACAGTAGTTACCAAACATACTTGTTTTCATTATAGAAAATGCATTGATGAGACAGACATTTCCCTAGCATGGACTTGGTTCTCTCTCATCTTTTCTATGGTGTATAGACCTGTTCTGAACATTAGTATCTTCATGTGCGCTTACCTGTCTATAATACTCCAAATTGTAGTCTATGAAACTAAGTCTCCCACGCAACATATTAATTTAATTGCAGGGTTTTAATAAGTTACTGTAGACTCTTTTTGGGCAAATTTTACAGTACCATTGGATCTATTTGTGTTCACTGCAGTCTGTTTTCTCATCTTGCTGTTATGCTTTTCTACCTTACCAAAATGGCTGCAAAATTAAGTTAAAAGCATCTCTATCTTCCATGATAAACTAAATTATTCTCTAGAGTAAATAGATGTTATTACAGCAAAAATTGTTCCCAGCATGTCTGTGCACTATAGGCAAACAAAGCCTGTGTTTAAGTACTGCTTATTTCAGTGCAACTATAGTGTCATCTATCTTTTTCTCCTTTGTGGGAGCACTGATTTCTTGAGTTATCATTTGATTGTTACTTATTGCTAGACAGAAGTTTGAAGATGAGACATTTGATACATTAACTAGAATAAGACTGTATTTTAAGTGATGATTTACTGTGAAATAAAACAAGGTTTATCTCACTGTTTTGATTCTTCTGCTGTTGTTTACCATAAGTAGTGTTTATTACAAAGTTCACAACAAATGAAACTGCTCTGGTCCAATCTGCCTTGAAATTAATAGTGGCTCATATATTAGTAAGTTGAAATTATTTTATTTGTTAAAAATATGTATTAATTAAATTATCTAGGGCTCATAATACAGTCAAGCTTGCAAAGAAAGTTGTGTGGGTAGATTGGTCTACAATTGAAAGAAAATGCTTGGTTTGTCTTTACTGAGAGATGTTAGCATCCAGAATTTTAAAATTTCTGTAATTATTCTATCAAAACTAATTTATAGCTTCTCCTACGCCCATGTGATAACTACATACCATCTGGTGACATCTTCTCCTCCTGTGCTGTTTTTTCTTCTCAACATTGCTAGCTTTTGTCTCTGTGATTCCTGTCTCCTTTTCTCAGTTTTCTCAGTTTTCCATTAATACAAGTCTTAAACCTGCATCCACACAGTTTCTGCCTCTCTATCTTTGGTGACAGTCTTCCTATATCTGACTTTACTCTGGCTGCAGCTTCTTTCATGATTTAATTTCAAGTCTTCTTTCTTCAACATATCCCTCTCTAGTTTTATGTTCCTTCCTTTTCCCCTTTATCTTCAGCCAGCCTCATTCATAAACACATTTTTTATCCCTAGGCACATGATTCACGTTCATGGTGTCCCTGCTCCAATACTGTTTCCATCTGTTCATAGTAAAACTGTCTTATCTGTCTCTAGTATCTCTGTGAATATCTTATGATGAGTTCAAACTCAATGTGCTCTTAGTCTCCTTTCTCCTACCAACCACTCAGTGCTACTTCTGTTCCTAATCACTGCTGCGCATGTAGCTGGGAATAGGATGAAGACAGAATCAGAATCACAGAATCACTAGGTTG